GTCAAGATGGCCAAGGTTCAACAGAGTGCACAGAGGCCAGTTGAAGATGGCCAAGGTTCAACAGAGTCCACAGGTCAAGATGGCCAAGGTTCAGCAGAGCCCACAGAGGCTAGTTGAAGCCTAGTGGTCCTGACTGGACCGGTTGCTGGGCCTTTGGACTTGAAGAGGTTTGGATCTAACTGGGTTCTTTGCTCTTTCATCTCCTGTTTTTCTGCTCTTCAGCTAACGGAGCCCCAAGATCAGCAGGCAGCTCTGTTGAGACACGAGCTGCGAACCAGTTGAAGAGATTTCTGCTAATCCTGACATCCTACAGCCATAAGAGTTTCTTATTTGAACTGCCCTGTAAGACAAGCCAGGGCTGTGTTAAAATTGTAAAATAATCAAATTAACTTCCAAACACTTCTTGAAGTTCGGCGAAGAATAAATAATAATAAAAAGAACAAGCAAGGATTCAGGAGCAAAGACTTTGCAGTTTTGCATTGAAACTCAAATTTTAGAGAGAGGAGATAAAAGGGGGAGAGGGGTGTGTGATTTAAAGTAGAGAAAAGCTTAGTGATTTAAGTCTCACGCTGCGAAGCCAGAGGTTGGGAGTTCGATTCTCCACTGGGCCTCCTTGAGAGAGCCTGGCCACCAAAAGCCAACAAACCCTTTTCCAGTGTGAGATAGGCAAAAAAATCCCCCTATCCAGGGCCAATCAGGATGAAGGTCAAAAATTCCTATCTGTCCCCACAATAGGCGACCAGAAAACTCACACTAGAATGAAGGAGGGCGGGTGGGTGCCCGGAAAGAAGAAGACGATGTGGGGTGGATCATCCCCTTAAATAGGTTATTCTCTCCACCCCATTCTCATTGCTAGCTCTCGTGATGCCTCAGTCTTTCCGGGGTGGGAGGCAAAGCTAGCTCGTATCGCTCAAAGTCCTTAGACTTAGCAGTGAGCTAAAACTTAGAATGGATAGGTTTGTTCTCCTTGCAATCCAGATGACTCTTAAGAGTCTCCTCCAGCACCACAATTCAAAGGCATCAAATCCTCAGCTTTATGGTCCAGCTCTCACTTCCATAAATCACTACAGGATGCTTGAAACCACCTGTAATTAATAAACCTCTTAGTGACAGGCTACTGGAGTGGGGTTCTTAAATTAATTGTTGTGCCTTACTCCTTTCAATATATTTTGGGGACAGCTTTTCTTTATGGGTTTTTTTTTCTGTCTGTGGTAATTT